GAAGAGACTGGCTCGGAGATTCAGGCTGTCAAGTCTGGGGTACGTGTCAGGGTCCAACTACAAGCCGCCAAAAATGCGGAAGATTCCTACATTATTACTCGGGATGCATTCTTGAGCCACTTGAAACGTATGCTGCGTATGACGGAAGAACAGAAATTGGAGGACTCTATAGCTCTTGTTGATCAAGGCGTTGACTCACTTGTTGCTGTTGATATCCGCTCTTGGTTCCTTAAGGAACTGGAGGTTGATATCCCCACGCTCAAGATACTAGGAGGAGGTTCAATTGCCGATCTAGTGAAGACTGCGTTAGAGAATATGGAGCCCATCAAAGAGGATGCTCCTGAGAGCTCGGAGCCATCTCCCAAACAAAAGCCCCAGCCAGGAAAGCCTTCTGGGTCTATACCGAAGAAAGAGACAGCCAGCTCCTCGCCATTATCAATGGGAAGCCCTGTATTTACCCCCGCGCTCGGAGATACACCCTCGCCCTCCGATGATGACTCCATCTCCACGCCTCTGCCATCTCGAGAGGATTTCGTGAAGAAAGGAGATTTGAAGAGTCAGGGAAAGCCTGTACCTACTGTCATTGCTTAGAGAAAGGCGGAGCTATTGGTTCTGGGCTCTCTAAAGGGCTTCACTGAGCTCTCCCATACACCTAATTTTACATTTTGTATTCATACCATTCCTTATCTGTCGTATACAGTTGATTCATCCCATTTTTTGATGTTTCCATTCAGACAATGTATATAAGCTTATAGTTTTCTCACAATAAAGGCAATGAACTGCGTTCGATAGAACCTGTCTACCTATTATAATATTATTTGTTAGCGAAAAAGGCAAGTAAATATTAAAATTTATTGCTGGTCAACATTATCTCAAAACAGCCGCCGCATTGAGTAAAATAAAAAAAACACTCTCAATAGCTTTTCACACAGTAGTCATTAAACAGTCATCATAAAAGGATAATTAATAATATAACCCCTACAACCCATTCCGGGGCAGCTTCGGGCCTGTATACGTTTTATGGCCACGTACAATGTAGTACACTATCCCAAATGCAACGACCACGCCATAAACAGGGCCAGAGTAATTCATGTTCTCGGCATTGACGGGGACAGAGGGAGGGAAAAATGCAAATATGACTGTCACAGTGGTATATATGACGGCAACAATGTTGATCGGTAGGCCGTACCGACCAAGATTCCATGGGCCGAACTCGATCTTCCCATGAGTAAGACGTTTATGAATCATAACACAGATGACGATAACGTAGGAGGACATGTAACCGGATACTACTAGAGAGACGACAGCAGAGAAAGCGACATTTGAGCCAATGCTGATCAATCCAAGGAGGGCATTAAGAACTCCAGTGAGGGCGATTGCGAAAAGAGGAATTGATCGTTTGCGGTCAATCTGTTATATGTCTGTTAGAAGGCTTCCTGAACATACTAAGATATATAAAAAAAATATCGAGTCGTCTAACAGTACCTTCCGCAAGAGATGTGAGAATGGTAGACCGCCATCACGGGCAAAGGCCCAAGCCTGTCTTGAAGCAGAGGCCATGAAATTGAAGTTTGCAACAATGTAGGTTGTTATCAATAAGGAGGTTAGGACGGTGGCAGCTGTGTTTGACTGGGTTGAATTTCGGAATAACTCAATGAAAGGGACCTTGGTTTCTGTGTTGATGACCCTGCTTATGTCTCCGATGCAGAAAAGGATGACAAGGTACATTGCTAGTCCCATGGCACCGTTGATAAACATTGTAAAGAACATGGCCCTGGGGACGTTGATGCGCGCATTTTGTACTTCTTCAGCTATAGTATTGTTAGCCTTGCAATACTTGAGTGGAGGTAATGTATGGATGGTTACCCATATGACATGCGCCGTCGTATCCAATGAACAAGACAGCACTGGCTGACTGGCCGATCAGCCAGGATAGGCCACTGCTGCTGTAGCCGGAAGTGTTTATGAACTCGGTGAAGACAAACTTAGCTGAACTAATAGGAGCAAGATGGACCAGGGGTATCATGATTGCGAAGAATCCAACGACGTGAATAATCAAGATGACTCCTTCAACTCCAGGAAGCCACTTGACGAGAGAAACATTAACAGAGAGAGAGAGAATAAGGACAGCATATAACATAAGTGTAGCCTGCCATCTCTCGGGCGTATATTCAGGGTAGTTGAGCTTGACGACCCCCTGAATGATGGTACCCCCAAGATATGTACCAGTGGTAGAAGCAGACTGCCATCCGAGGACAGAGAGCCAGCCTAGATTTATTCAGCTATGCTCCTGGTGCAGGGTAGGTCAGACAGGCATGCTTACCGGTCAAGAAACTAAGGAATTTGACCTTTCCTGGAGGAGCGAGAAGAGACGCCCAATAGTACTGTCCTCCAGAAATAGGGTACCTTTCAACAATCAGCAATGCGATCCCTCTACAGCAATACGGGGTGGAAATATAGGAGCTTACATTAAAGCCATCTCAGCAAGAGAGGCGCATGTCGCTAGTGACCCGAAGAAGGCCAGAATGAAGCCATAGACCATAGTAACCGGTCCTCCATTGATATACGCGGTAAGGAAGAATCTGTAGGTAAATTAGTACTTCTTTTAGCCGTTCGCTTTGCTGCTGAACACTAAGGAAAACATACGGAAGGCCTGATTCCCATGTCCCCATGATACAGGTTGTGAATCCTAATATTGTCACCAAACCGAATCGTCTCTATCGTGCAAGACTGTCAGTCGCCTGTCAAGCCAGGCCCAGGCCTAGCTTTCCCCAGGCTATCCAACAATTGCAACGGTTTGAAGCTTACAGACCTTTGTCTCTTGGGCCACACCCAGCCTGGCCATGTCAGCGGCATCTTGATCTGGCCGTGCGGCTGCTTCGCCATCATAGTGGTGGTTAACAGGACGGTTCTCCACCTGAGAAACGATCTTCTCCTCTGACTGTCCCAGCGCCATGGTGATAGATTCCTCTTCAGGAGTAGAGAAACTGACTGACTACCCGCTGGTTAAAACAAATCCTTTTGGTGAGCAGCTCTCGAGAAGAGAAAAAAGGAGGACGTCAACGAGGGACCAGAGTAAGAGAGAAGAACGGAGGGAAATGCAGATGCAATGTGGATTTCGGGAACTGCATGTAGGACTCCCCGGCCAGCTTCTTTTTTTCACCCTTCCCTTGAAAGGAGACCGGGGTAGGATATTATCGTCGTGGTCTTATGTCGGTACAGGCGACCCTGTTGGCTGCATATTTGGTGCCCTGTTGGGATCTCAATATGCGAACATGCGCTGTAAAGGGGCAGACGCAGCACCCTTTTTGTCGACAAACAGCCAACCGCTACAACTTAACTAGCTATGCCTCTCTGACAGAGCAGTTAGAGTTATCCTGTGCATATTTAAACATTGAAAGCTCAGTCAGTGAACGGCTCGTCGACTCTTCGCCCCAGGAATATGTTTCACCCCCAGCCAAGCTCGCTCGCGGGCGCTTCTCGTCCCGAAAAGCCCAGCGTACAAGCCTCCCCCCCCCTCCAAATACCCCCAATATGCGACTAAGAGGCAAGCCACAGGCGAGAACGCCAGGAGAACGGGCTGCACAGTGTCTGGAGATTCGACACTGCTTGGCAGGTTCAGGGATCCTTTCCTTTGCATCCCGCTCCCTTGCGGATTGGCGTACGAGGGGCGGCTCACGGCCTCTCTGCTTGTCCCTTAGGCGATGGTATCTGACGCTTCCTCCGTATTCACCATTGATTTGTGCTTCCCGCTGAAGGTTGGCCCGCCACTGGACTAATTACGGGTTGCATGAGGGCCGAGACTCAGATGGCTGTGCCCTCTTCCATGTCTGTTGAAAGATGGACACAGAGGAGCATTTTGGCCACCCTGCATTCCTCAGCTGGCCACCATCCACATAGTTACTTACACAGCTACTTATCCGTACTCCGTACGGAGTACATGCAATAATAATACACTCGATTGGCAGCTGGCGTCCTGTTGAGTTTTCCCAGGAACCTGGAGAGAGGCAGCCTTGGGCTGATGAGGGCCTGTCTCTGGAGTAAAGTAACGACCTGGCCATGCAGAGAGCGAGAGAGGTCGAGCAGGCAGGCAGTGGAGAAAGAAAATAGAACTTTCCAAGGGTCTCTATATCAGTCCAGAGTCCAGCGTACGTCGCTAACTAGCTCAGTCGAGCTCTTGCTGGCGCCCAATAGCATCTACTTCTGCTGGGGATCGGAGCAGAAAAGGGGGATAGCCCGTCTCCATCTGGACTGGAGAAGAATCCTCCATGCAGTTTAGTTGCAGTTTAGTTGTAGGTCGAGCGGCCACGATGAAGCACTTTGTCAAGAGGCGCATCCCAAACCATAAAAGGGAGAAGAAGTTATGGGTCCCCACGCTATCAGCAGGGCGTCTTCTTCGCTGCTTGCGTATGGGAGATACCAATACACCATTAATTATGGGCCGGAGGTCCAAGTCCGCCAGTTAGCGCCCTTAATTGAGCTGGAATATTGGCATGGCGCTCGTAATTGATACGGGCCAGGGTTTCGAGATCGCCAGATGGTCAAACAGCAGGCCCCCATCCCACCGTTTTGCCCTCGGATCTCTTGGCCAGGAAGCCTGTTCTAATACGAAGCAGAGAGAGAAAAGGATAACTCTGTAGCGTGAGACTCACGCCAACGGTGACTTTTTTTTGGCCGCGCTCTCGGGAGAACCGGTGGTTATCGCTTCGCTTCTTTTGTTTCGCAGCTTAGCTCAAAGCGCAAGGATTGCCTAGCCTGGCCACTATTGCCTATTGCCGTCTGCGTGGTAAATTAGGCATGCCTCGTAACATGAAAAGGGCAAGGCAGGGGACGAGACTGGGGTGGCTTGCTCTGCCCAAGTCTCGAGCCTTGTCTGTCTGAGTGATGGCAGGATGCCCCCTGAGAATTTGACGGCTGGCCCTCCGCAAAGCTCAGCGAGAGGCTCGAAGGGCCGCTGCCGCTGCCGCTAGTTACGGCTGCGTGCGCTCTCCGTATAACTATCATGCAGCATATATAAGCTGATTCCAGGAGGGAGGGATGGATATGACACCTGGATTGGCATGTCGACTTGTAACGGGCCAGCCATCATCCTCTGCAGGATGAAGAAGATTCATTTCATTCCTTTTTCTCCCTCCCATCTCTTTTTCGTCTTCCTCTGGCTCTTCGTCCAACCGTTTTATCTAGCCAGAACCTTTTCCTCAAAGCCCGGCCATTCTCGCTCTCGCACGCCACAGTAGCCGGGCTTCGTTCGGGAATAGACGTTTTGGCTCTTGGGCCTCCAGATCGTCAGTTCTTCTGTTTTTGACTTCTGATGCTTCGTCTCTTTTCTTTTATCTTTAGAGCTGCTGTGTGCACTTTTGAAACCGTTTAACGCCGGCGTTTTCTGCCTGGAATCCAGCGTTGCTTTCGTGTAGATAGATAATATCCCGTCTTTGTCCTGTCCTGCGTTGGCAGCATTGGCCCATGGATTTTTACCCTTCATCCCTCTGGCATCAAGAGCCTCTCAGTCCTCCCGTCGAGACTGACCCCATACATCGATACCTCTTCGTTTTCTGTCGTCGTGAGCTATGCAGACTGATGGTGTGAGGCACACGGTAGTGACGCCCGATAACCATGGGCCCATCATCCAGATCGTGACCTGGTTTGCCATGGTGGTGATGATTCTGGCGACGGCCCTGAGACTGGCTGTCCGATATCTGACATCCCACATCCCCGGAATGGACGATGCCATTGTTGTAGGCTCCATGGTATATATCAACCAACCCCATGAGGGCCTTGTCCAGCTGGGCATAGCTATAGTATATGGATCATGCTGACTCGGCCACAGCTTGTCAATGTCGGCGGCGTCATAGCCATATCCCTGGCGGTCACTCACGGCCTGGGGCGGCGTGAGTCGAAGCTGACTGAAGCCCAAGTGTCAAAAGCCGGTCAGGTACGCAGGATGTGTCTAGCTGTTCGCCCCCCTTGTCGCTGGCTCGCAGCGTGTCTAACATGACAGAGATAGGATGTGTTTGCCTCGTCGATCATGTATATCCTGGCCATTTCGCTGGCAAAGCTGTCTACTCTTAGCTTCATCGAGCGGGTTGTTCCAGCAAACAAGTATAGAGGCGCGATCAAGGGCTCCCTGATCTTCTTGCTGGCCTGGACGGTGGTATCAATCATCGTGTATGGATTCCAGTGCGGCGCCTCTGCACCTTGGGACCCGCGTTCCACTGCAAAGTGTTTCAATATAGTATGATATGACCGGCCTCCGACTTTTGCTTTACAGCTGTGCAGCGTGCTAATGCATCGTAGGTCGCATTCTGGTCGGCTGCCACTGGTATAGACGTGTTCACCGACCTCTGTCTGATTGTGGTGCCGGGATGGATTTTATGGGACTTGCAGATGAACAAAATACAGAAGAGAATCGTCTTTGGCGTGTTTGCCAGCAGAGGAGTGTAAGTTCTCCATTTATTCCATGTCTTCTCACCATCTACAGCTTTTAATATGTGGACTATAAACCAGTGTTATAGCAGCCTCTATCCTGCGAGCAACATATCTTAAGCACATCGACGGCTCAGGGGACTCCATGTTCGACAGCGTCCCTTATCATGTTGCAACGCAGTGCCATGCAATGCTCAACACGATCATTACCTGTCTCCCAGGCTTTAAGCCATTTATGGACAGGGCGAATACTGGTCTACTTAGCATCTCCTTCAAAAGCCGTTTGGCCGGCGGAGTGTACGATAATACGTTTACCGAATATGCCATGACCAGTCTGAGGCGCGTTGTCCATCCGCGTGGAATAGGGGCTTCGGGTCAGCGGCAGCTCAAGAGCGTCAAGGGCTCGATACAGAACAAACTCGGGGGCACGCAGCGGTCGTTTCGCCCGGATGAATACAGCCAGCATGCGGACGCTTTCTCGGACAGCAGGATACTTACTGAAAGCCGGTCCCAGATTGAAGAGGAAGGGCCCGATAAACTCATCATCCGGTACACAACGGACTGGACCGTCCATGTGCAGGATGAACACCGCTCGAATTCTGATGCAGCGAGTCGATAGCCCTAGTGAGCTCACTAGCCTCCTAGTGATTTAATCCATACGATGCATGTGTTATGATATTTAATATTTCTTCTTCCCCTCCACTATACCCATTACTTCTTTTTTTTCGTTGAAACCTGTATATTTATGACTAGTCAAGATGGTATGGTGCCATAGGATACTGCCATTTCATTTTCGTTGAAACCTAACCATGCACATGCGGCAGTATACAATTTTATGACTGCAAAGGACCGGATTCTCTCCCTCCACTGTTTCCATTAAACCTATCATTATGTTCAGGGAAGCGGTATGCTGAAACACTCCACCGATGCCACAGTCCTGGCCTCGTTGACCGTTGGCTGTCCTAGCACATACATCGTCTGGAGGCCCTGGTACTTTCCTCCAACCTGGATAATCAATCTAGTGTTCTGAGTTGCGCCAGACCCGATACCGCTTTCCTCGATATAAAACGGCGATCCGTCGCTGGCATGGCCGTACGCGTAAATGTATGCCATCTGCGCTTTTGCCCCACCATCACCCTTGACGATAATCGGAGAGGCGACCCCGCCTTCGATAGTGGCATTGAAAGCAGGGCCTTCGATGGTTCCGCCGGTGATGGGCTCAACGATGCGGACGCCACCCTCGAGGAGTGGAATTGGGTCGAGTGGCTTTGCGAGCGTCACTGTTGCACTGAAGAGATAGGTAGGCATGGGGACAATGACGCCCGTGGGAACACTGGGAGTAGACATCTTGGAATGGCTGGCACGGCTAGTTTTCGTTGGCGTATTATGATGAGATTGTGAGGAAGTGATTTGACGGGTGGAAAGTGGCTCCCTCTGTGTCTATGTTGTCCTCTCACAATAACAGCAGTTACCGATTTAAATAGAGCCGATAAACCTTTGACTTGCACCTGAATGGCCTCTCTGCGGCTAGCCACATCTCTTTCGGCACAGAATATCAATTTCGCCGGCTTTCCTTTCTAGTCAATTCCTCCGAGTGCAGTAAGTTCCGGCTCCGACCGTCCTCTCTTTGGACGAAACATTTTTTCAAAAGAAAACCATCAGCAAGAGGAAGACGTCTCCCCCTTTCAGAAGACCTTCCAGGAGCTTCTTCTCGTGATCTGCCTCCTGTCGAGCGCTATCTCAACGACACTTTACAGTGCGTTGGCATCCTTGCGTCGGCGCAAACAAATATTAACTAATGAAAATGGGAGAGAGAAAAATAAAGTATTTTAAGCTTAAGTTGGCCCGCTTAAGGTTGGCCCCACTCGACCGTCCGCTTTGGGCGCTCCGACCATCCGGCATCTGCTTCCCAATGTTAAGCTAACTAGTTAGTTCGTTCGTTCGTTGAGTCAGTTCGAGGTTTCTTTGATCCGGGCCTGCGTGTCGCTCCCGTCGACGTATACCGGAAGCCATCTCGTATCTATCAATGCTTAGGCCGCATGGCGCATGGCCACAATGCAGGTCCGGCGGTCGGATGGTCGCTGCCTCCAGAAAAGAAGCTCCGAAGCTCTAAACTCCGATGTGGCCGGGCAGCCGCCGCGGGTTTGGCCGTTGTTTTTTTCTACTTCGCCTGCTTTCGCCCCAGAGAGAAGTCGGACTACTTTAACACGTCTGGTTCAGTCGAGCATCGGTGGCTGCATAGTGAACGAGCCAGAGCAAAGTTACCCGTGACAGTTGCAGGGTCAAGATGTCTTCGCAGATGCCAGGAAGAGTGACGAAACGTGCCATCCGCTCTGCTCTCAGGGCATACCCAGCGGTGTTATCACCCGTACCGCACGCCTCGACATCTTCTATAAGATCAACCTCACCCTCTTGTCCTCCGTTGTCACTGTCTCAGTCAGCTAGGACCCTTTCGACCTTGCAGTCAGCCAGCACACGCGCTCAGCAGCTCAAGAAAACCCATCCATCCCCCTCCATAAACCACTGTCTACACGCCGCCGCCATGTCTACCATGCCTGCTACCCACGGCCATAACGAGGCCTGCTGTAATATCCCGCCCGTCATTACGTCGGGGTATGTTCCCAAGGGCTCATATGAAGAGCTCGGAGGCCTGAAAACATGTACGTCCGTCTTACACCCTGCGATATTCCATAGACTATTGACCATGTAACTAGACGTCACCGGAGCTTCTGACGCGACCAAGGGTATTGTCGCCGTGTTTGATATTTTTGGATATGTCGACCAGACCGTTCAGGGAGCCGACATTCTCGGAGCCAGTAGCGGTAACAAATACAAAGTGTTTATGCCTGACTGGTTCAAGGGAAATCCATGTCCCACTGAGTGGTAAGCCGATAGCCCTTTTCTTCAATGAGACAGCAAATAACATTCAGATTTCTTAGGTACCCCCCAGACACTGAGCAGAAGCAGAAAGATCTTGGTGCCTGGTTTGGGAATAATGCTCCCCATGGAGTTGCTGACGCGCTGCCTGGCTACGTCGAGGCCCTCAAGGCTGCGAACCCATCTATCCAATCTTGGGCTCTTATCGGTGTAAGTCCGCTATTATATACCAGTTAAGCAAGCCCACTAATGACTTTTAGTACTGCTGGGGAGGCAAGGTCACTGAACTTGTGACTTCTCGTGACTCTAATCCATTTTCCATTGCTGCTGGTATCCATCCGGCAATGGTAGACACCGCCGGTGCTGACAAAATTCGAGTGCCGTATATGCTCCTTGCATCCCAGGAAGAGCCAGCTGATATCATCAAGGAGTTTGAGAGCAAACTGAATGTTCCACACCATGTTGAGACCTTTGGAGACCAGGTTCATGGCTGGATGGCGGCGCGTGCTGACCTTGCCGATCCCAGGTCGAAGGAGGAGTATATTCGTGGCTACAAGACCGTTCTTCGCTTCTTCAACCAACATTGGTGAATCACACAGCTGTCGACTATAATCCCCACTGAATATGTCCACAGTCATATTTTAGTTGTACATTGATAGGTATAGGTTTAGCCAAAATCATTGCCGATCAAGGCTTAGCTTCAAATTGTCAACTTCACATACTTCGTATCATATGATCTGGCATACAGATATCTCTTCTGAGCATTCTTCCCAAGAAATATATATATTCGAGCTAGTAGATATGACGTATGTATAACGTCCCAGAATTAAATGCTGTCTAAAGTTGATAAAAGCCGTCCAGTTATATTAAGTGGGAATATTCTATATACCAGAATCATCTTGTGGCCAGGGAGAGCTTGGAGACCACTTCTCCCATGAAGCACAAGTATCGTCAAAAACTTTTCGGGCTCCACTGTTGACTGATATAGAGTGTGGACTCTCAACAAATTCCAGTGCCAGCCCCTGGCTGCTGTGCCATGCAATATGACAATGTATAAGCCATGCACCAGGGTTATCAAGTCGGAACGCGATTGCAAGATACCCCCTGGCAGGAAGCAAAGCAGTGTCTCTTCGCGGTACGCCCTTTAGTTTGAAGGAGTCCATGTTTCCGTCCCATAGCTTGCCCGTTTCCTGAGCAAGAATCCAGAAGTCGTGTCCATGGAGATGGATAGGATGGGCAATACTATAAACCCGACACTGTTAGCCAACAACATTCTTGAGAGTTCATGTAGACCAAAAATGGCTAGATAGTATTTACTTTGCAAAGAGTGCTGCTGCAGTATTCTGAATTACTAGAACCGCCCACTCATCACCGGTGGGATTCTTTCTCTATTTCGAATATTAGAAAATGCTAGGTCATCACGGAATTACGGGTAGCACTTACATCAACAGATACCACGTTGTAAGGGGTGGGGATGTCTGATGCGTTCTTGAAGACATATTGCAGAGTCGGCTTATTCCAGTCCAAAGCCAAGCTACTGCCATTAATAGTCCACTGAAAGAGGGCGGCATGTGTGAGACGGACGTTTATTCCCTCGACAGTCGTGCCAGAGATGGTACCGACATCAAACTTCACGCGAGGTACTAGTTTTGTGGCTGGCTCGTCTGCGCAGAACTTTGGTGGCTGAACTGTGCTGGTGGTAGTTGGCTCTTTGGTGCTTTTGGAATTATATCGTACAATGCCCGTGATGGAGCCTGGGTTATCGTTTGCGACACCTTGACAGGCCCTCAACCAGCCGCCACGCATCCAGTAGTCCCCTGGGGTAGCATTTGCTTCGACCACGATATCGTATCTCTCACCGACATTGACCAGAACGTTGTCAGTCTCATATGGTATGATTGGGACAAAGTCAACGGCAATAACCTTGAACTTGTGGCCATCAATGTTGAACTGGAACAGGCTATCCATTGCCACATTGGCGAGACGAATGAGATACTTCTTGCCAGGCTCAAACACTGTTTCGAACTTCTTACCCCCCCCAATGCAGTTGGGGTCCATCGAACCAGTGCAGTTGAATGTGTTGGTGCCATTGATTAGAAGGCTGTTCAATGATTTGGTAATGCCATACTTCTCCTTCGCACTCCAGTCGGTGAAAGTAGATGTATGTGACCAATCTTGGAGGAACAGAACACCCTTGTCTTCGTCATAATTCGCGGTTGCAGGACCCTTGAATATAAGGGGACCGAACAGTCCTTCCGTGTATTGAAGAGAAAAGTGGCTGTGGTACCAACTCGATCCGTATTGGGTGACCTTGAACTTGTACGTGTAGCTTTCTCCCGGGCGGATTGGGCATTGAGTAACTCCTGGGACTCCGTCCTGTTCGACACTATTGAGTTGTCGAACACCATGCCAATGGATGGCAGTGCCATTGCTCTTCAAATTATTGGTAACATGGACAACGAGATCATCTCCCCAGTCGGCAACAATGGCAGGACCCGGCATGGTGCCATTGAAAGTCATGCATGGTCGTCGATATCCATCCTGGTTGCATATGCCTTCTTCAACCGACAGCCAAACTTCAACCGTTTTCCCTGTGTCTGGTATCGTAGTGTAATAGTTCGTGTCGATATCATATTTCCCCCAGCAGTGTCGAGAAGTAGGAGTGTTTTCGCATGTCGCCCGTTTAGTATCTAAACTGTGGCCTGGAATCTTTGGTAAGGCGTGACAGCAGGACGCCAGGGCCAGGAAGGAAAGAAGAGGCAGTTTCATATTGGAGACGGAGTTTGCTCTCCAACGAGCTGGACAGATAAACCAGTGGAAATGAACACGGGGTTCTACCGGCAGAGGAATAGCTCGAGAATGGCGCGCCTGCTCGGTGCAACACCCGATGTACTTATGCTCCTGGATCAATGGTCATGACGTCTCGTTCAGAGCGAGTCGAACGGTATTAACAAAGCTGAGATGCTCCGATATAGCTAGCCTAAAGGAGGCACGGAGCCAAGCTCAGGCTACAGTGGGTATCCAGCCGGTCATATAGAGCAAGGTATGGAATATAGAGAGTAACTCCAGGGTCATCGGCCGACGGAATGAGCCAAGCTATGCTCGAATAACCAGGGACACTGGTTGTCATTATGCAAGTTTGCAGGGATATCACTGGGGAGAGTTCGAGTTCGTGCAATCGGAGGGAGCGGAAGGAAGACGCTCGGAAAATCGAACCCTGGGATGTTTTCGGAGGAATAGCACAAATGGAGTATTCGGAGGATATGGCCCAAAACGAAGTCCATCTGCATTTGCAGAGGTCCCTGGAGTCCCTGTACGGGCTTTTGGTAGCTTGGTATATATGATCGTGGGATGGCCGCCACAGGCCAGGTCAACGACACCAGACGCTGCTTAGTTACTCCCTTCCATGGTGGCATGCTAGCAAATACCATGATCAATCTGCAGGGAATCATGGGCTTCTTTAGCTTCGGCCGGCTCTTCGCTCTGGTCTCTATATTGCCGTTTCTTGTGAATGCTGCCACAGAGTGCCGGCCGTCTCTTCCACTTCCATACCGGGTACTCCATCAGTTCCCAGACCCGACATATCTGCAAAGTCTCTACGTCCGATCAAATGGAGACATCCTCTTAACTACCGCCTGGCCAAATGGGACAATTTATTATGTCTCAGGGCCCACGACGAAGTCACCCAAAGTCACCCAGGTCTACCAGTTCGACCCCAAGGTCGTAAACGTTACAACCAGTATCATCGAGACACGGCCTGACGTCTACGCCTTTTTCGCAGGCCAGCAAGTCCACTTGGGCATCGGCATCAACGGCACTTTTGGTGTCTGGGAGCTCGATCTACGACCTACTCGCCGTCGATTGAACCCTGGCAAGGCGATTGTCAAGGAGCTCGTCCATATCCCCAACGGTGGCCTCCTGTCCGGATTGGATGTCGTCCCAGATGATCCCAGCACTCTGTTAGTTGCAGACTCGACAGTCGGGGTGGTATGGCATGTGGACACCGTTGCTCGCAAGTACAAGGTCGGAATTCAAGATCCAGCTATGCCTGGTCCTCCATGGGCAGCGACACAGTTCGGAATCGATGGACTGCAGTACCACAAGGGATACCTATACTGGACAAACAGCTTCGAGGCAAGAATTTACCGCATCCGCATGACACGGAAAGGATTTGCGGCACCTGGAGCAAAGGGCGAGCTGTTTAAGGAGGTCCGCTCATTCTTCCTTGACAACTTCACATTTGGACCAAGGAATGGCGACACGATGTGGGTTGCAACCAATGCAGATAACCGTTTGATCACAGTCTCACCCGATGGTAATGTCACTGTAGTTCTGGGTGAGCCAGACGAATTAACGGTGTCTGGGGTGGTCCAGCCGGCATTCGGGAAGCTCCCTGGTGACACACATACCATGTACGCTATAACATCTGGGGCGTTCAACTTCCCGATAAACGGAACAGTGACAGAAGGCGGAAAACTCATTGCCGTTGATACAAGAGGTTACTGTTAGAGGTCAGGCAAATGCAGAAATATATGCAGATAATCGCTGGGAGAATAGCAAGCCGAGAAGCTTTAGATGATATTCTCGAGTCAGAAATAGTAGAGTTCGCTTGATCCTGATACCACCAGAAATAGAAAATAATGTCATGTCCTCATCGTTTCTAAGTAAAGCGGTCATCCTCCTTATACCCCAACACACACGTAGTAGCCAGCCCAGAGATTCAAACAAGCAGGATCAATCTCAGAATTCCACCTATGAAAATCAGTATCAGAAATGCCATATGCTTCCTCGATCTTGATGCAGTTATCGTTTGGCCGAACATAATGAAATGCCCTACAGCCACGAATCGTTCCGGGCTGTTGACGCTCAGGGCCAGGGCCGGTTGGGATGGGAGTGGGTGTTGTTATTACTGGCGAGGTAGTCGTTGGTATTGGCACCCTCGTCGGTGTGGGAAACGACCATCCGGAAACACCAACGCAGTAGTACCATCCCGCATATAGCCTTGTGCAATCCGTACCCACGTCCGGGTTCCACTGTATGAATTGTTCAAGCGTGAAGGAATGGAACTTTTCTTCTGCTATGATCTTGCAGTTGTCATTTGGATGCGCTTTATACCACTTGACGCAATTCTTAGAGACATTTGGCTGGCTCGGCGTCGGAGCGTCTTCCGCCCAATGACTGCCGGTGGGTATTGAACGAGGAACTGGTTTATTAGAGGTAACTTGCACTCCAACGCAGATGACTCGCCCAGGCCTCAGCCTAGAGCATCTAGTTCCAAGACTATGAAGAACGCATCAATCAGCAACCAGACCCTAATAAGACCTCCGACATGGATGGGGAAATGATAGAACTCACTGATTCCAGCGAGACAAATCCTGTGGTGGGATATTATAATGGAGGGCAATCTCTAAGCAAGTTTCTCCTTGGAGTACTTGGTGATAGAGTGTGCACTTGTGCGCAATGGTCGGGTCAAGCTCTGAAACGCCCAAGGAGCCTCTCGGGTAAGTTCTAGCTCCCCGCACAGTGGGTTCTCCATACGTGAGGGAGGCAGCAATAAAGGCATAGAGAAAGGTAAGCCAAAACATGATTAATCCTTGAGAAATGTAATTTGTCCTCTAATGATATTAAACTGGGACAATGGAAACCATGAGGAAACGTGAGCCCTTTTATCCTCCATTCGAGGTAAGCTATGATAGGCAAGAGATACACGGTATACTGGGGGTAGATTAAGCAAACTTTGACAAACCGAAAATTTTGTAACCTAGCTTGCTGGGCAATCTAGGGTGGATAAAATCAAAGGCAGTGTAAGTGTCCATTGCAATGTTTGCTGGACACGGGGGGCCACTGGACGCCAAAGGGTATGCACAGAGTTACAGCATGCTAGCCTGATTGAGACCATCGCAGACTCAAAGCCAAAAGCCAAAAGCGGCAGGCGAACGGGTATGTGCATCGGGCAGAATACATGTCGTGGTCCCCTGTGTTTGCCCGCGTGTGCATCTTGGCTAGGAAAACTAAGGCAGGAAGTTAGTAATTATTTTCAACAGATCAGCTAGATGGGGTCATTGACTGCGGACAGGCGACGTATTTCCGTGACCTGGCCCTGCAGCACTAACAGCTTCAACTCTGTGGGCATAGTCGACAATGGAGGGCCTTCTTCTGGTCTTCAGCTTGTATCTCCGCAGTCGCCTCGTCAGGATTTTTTTGATAGGACTGGATGAAGCCAAGTTGCAGTCCCAAAGAAATGCAAGATGAAGAAACGTCTTGATGTCGATAAGCAAAAGCGGCTATTTTCAGGGGCCGAGATTATCTCCGAGGGTGAAGCTAAATCCGGGTGAAAAAGGCTTCGGCTTTGCGGTCGGACTCGGCATAATGTTGAGCCGGAACAGATTGGGTATATCGCCGAACGGGATGCTATCGCAGGGGTGGCGGAGATATCAAATCGCAGGAATGAAATAGCCGGAAGAAAGGAGAAATAAAATATATAAGAGTCATGGAGAGCTTCAGGCTGATTGAGAGTATGTGCCATCTTGCTCTTCCCTTCTGCACGAGTGGCGTCTTTCTCCCTGAGTTCAAACAATCATAGCCATGGAAGAATCAACTGCTACTTCTGATGTAGGTAGCCTTGGAAAAGGGCTAGATATCGAGATGCCTAGGGAAAAGAAGGGGGAGTTCCCAAAGGATGCTATCCCCAGTTTCCCAGAGGGAGGATTCAGGGCATGGCTTACGGTTTCAGGAGCGGCTGCAGCCTTATTTGTTTCCTTTGGATGGGTCAACTGCATAGCATTGTTCCAGGCAAACTATGAAATGAACCAGCTCAAGGGGTATCCTAGGTCTACCATTTCGTGGATCACATCAATGGAATGTAGGTGGTAGTAACGTGCATTTGTTCTTCCCGGTTATGCCATTGCTAATCACCAACAACTAGTCTTTTTCATGATGTTCATGTCACCGGTGGCAGGGAGACTGTTCGATAGGTATGGCCCGCGGGTACCACTGCTCATTGGAACAGTATTGCATGTTCTGGGCCTCATGATGGCAAGCATCTCGACCAAGTACTATCAGTTTGTGCTTAGCCAATCTGTATGCTCAGGAATAGGGGCTTCTTTTATTTTCAACCCAGCGATGGCCGCAGTATGTGTTATTCCTTTTGCCAATGGTCGAAGCAACCTAAATGTTAACTGTCTTTTTCAGCCTCAAACATACTTCCGAGAGAGGAGGGGCCTCATTGCCGGCCTGACTGTTGCAGGCTCATCCTTAGGCGGGGTAATATTCCCGCTTATGGTTCAGCATCTCCTCCCAGCGGTAGGATTCGGCTGGACCATGCGAATATGCGCCTTTTTAATCCTTGGATTGCTCATATATGCTGATTTGACGATCACATCGAACTTCAACCATGGCCCGCATCCTTTCAAGTTATCGAACTATTTCCTTCCATTGAAGGAGTTGAACTTCAACATCATGTGGTTTTCCATGTTCTTTTTATTCTGTAGGTGGTATTAATTTTTTCTTTCATGCGAATGGCGGGCTGACTCATTTTATCCAGGGGGGATGTTTATTCCTTTCGACTACATAGTAGTGTCTGCCATTCATTATGGCATGCCGCAAAGGCTGGCCTATTCGCTTGTACCCGTTCTCAATGGCGCCAGGTAAGCATCAATGGAGTGTACATGTGCCGTTAGTGCTCTTGTTAACTTTGGAAAAGTTTTATCGGCCGTACAGTGCCCAACTATGTCGGCGATCGCATTGGGCGATTCAACGTCATGATCATAATGACGCTATTCTCGGCTATACTCGTGCTGGCGCTCTGGCTTCCAGGCAGGAGTACAGGTGCCATATTTGCATTTGCAGCTTTATTCGGAATCAGCTCTGGTGCCGGAATAGGACTCGGGTTACCATTGATAGCCGCCGTATCTCCAATGAAGGAGCTCGGGTACCGGATGGGAATGATCGTGTCCATTGCCTCTATCGCCACGCTCACCAGCCCTCCAATCGGCGGAGCAATTGTGGCGCGAGATAGCGGCAGTTTCACGTATCCATGCGTCTTCTCTGGGGTGAGCTTCTTCGTGTCGCTAGTTGGCTATACCGCGCTACGAGTCCGGTTAGGAGGCTCAAAACTCAGGGCTAAAATATAAACACGAGCCATAACTAGCTACTTGTGGCCTTATACGGACTCTCCCCACTCATTCACCGGTCGGAGGCGTCTCTTGCATGCCATGCCTACTCAGTTTGTATATTAGATTAGAAAACACATAAAGGGAGCTTCAACCATACCTGGTCCCGGGAGTTACGTACACGATTATCCAAGGGAGGCGAGCAGCGTGTCTCCCGGCAGGTTGTATCCGCATCTTCGTTGCTGTCGTGGCGTTGCTTCGGCTGCTGTCTGGATGATGATTTCAGCCAACATTGAAACCTACCCCAGGGCGCACAGTGTGAAGAGAACCATGTTCGATATTCCAGTCCAAGATAGCAGTCCCAGGGGTAAAAACCGCCCGATCTAAGTATCACGTGATGGGCTGAGGAAATCCCCAATTTTCCGCCAGCATTTGGATCAACAACATCACGAAGTCACAACATCGCGACGACCAGCAGAGAATCTTGCTTGTGGCGTTTGGACTGGACGGCTGGAGAAACCGTGCCTCGCTAACACCCATACCAGGCATCTGCCGCAGAAGATGCGCACTTGATATCGACCCGACCAGTTCAAGGTCGACCTCCAGCGCAGGACAGGCCAGCGGCTTTGCGGCCCATTTAGCCCATCCATTCTCTCGCCCGATATTTGGTAATCGGGTGGATTCGTCGCTTATTCACCAACTTCCAGCATTGAACAAGAGAGAGATATGAAGTCTCCAAGGCCGCTGGACAGTCTTATACAATCCAATTAATATAATAATTGGAACTGAACCACTATAATACCAGGTCTAGATACTGGAGATATACCGTCGTGGAAAACGCACCTTCACCAAGCCTGAAAAACAATATTCTTCAGTGCATCCATAATAAGCAAAATTAATATATTACTGATTATTAAATTCACATAGAATGCCGCTCTCGCGCAATTATATATACCAACGTCTATGCACACCCGCATTCAAATCAAGGATCAAGGATTTACCCCCTCGATCTTGGCGATCATGAATTTCATGCAATGTTCGAAGTAGGTCTTGAAGTAACTGCTGTGAACCAATGGATCAAGACCATGATCACAATATATATCGCCATGGTCACAGTACGAGACACGAAGATGATCGTAATGTTTGCAACTTTCATCGTTGCGACGAGGGAACCACTATTAGTTGTTGAAGAGGAGTCAGCATCTATTCCCACGATTGAACCATGCTCACCTAGCATAGCTTCGAGAGGGCCAAACTTACTCCTTTGCGCGTAGAAGTTCCCACGTCGTATGGCAGGCCAGGATTGTGAGTGGGATCTCCCATTCCAACAACAGCAATGACTAAAAGACGGTCAGCAGCAGTTTATTTCAAACATTCGACACAACAGTGTCGTCAAAAAAAAAAAAAA